TTCCCTCTTCTTTGGTTTCTGAATGTCATAGATCGCATGATCGCTCCCAGTCATGTCAGTTCATGCCCTCTAGAAAGCAGACACCAAGCTAGATGGGGTCAGTAAATCTACTGAGGACGATGCCTGCATAAGGGAGGGAGAATGGGCAGGACTAGCCACCAGTCAGAGCAGCCTGACACCTGTGAAAGGAGAGGGGAAGAGAAAATCAATTGGCTAAGAAAGAGCCTCAGACTATGAGCAAGTCTCTGTCAACCCAACAGAGGAACTCAGACACCAAGTGTGCCCATAGAAGGCTCCCACCCTTGCAGGAATATCCAGGGCCCATATTTCTTCATGCTTAGCCAGGAGGTTTCCAGGGACACAGTGGCCTTGACTAAAATGCTATACCAGATTTGAAGACTGTAGCTGGTGGCTGTCAGCCAACTGCTGTCCTTAGAGAAGTTTCTCTCTGAGGGAGATTTGAGCTGCCACAACTCACCTCCTTCCCTCCACAGATGCTCTTTGTCTGTAGGGTTGGGACACAGGTCTTTCACGGCTCCCACAGGACTCTCCCTGAGAGGAACCACACAAAGGGATAATGGGTGTGGTAAACTACAGACCTTATCACTTTGGTTCATGTAGGGGCTGTGACTGATCAACTCATACCTCCCTCCCCTGCCTTTTGTTATAAATACACCTCACTCTCTCCCTCTGCTAACACCTCTGCTGGTCTCAGGGGCTTGCTTGGTGTTGAGACTAATTTCTCTCTTAGGAGAGGTTGCCACTCCCAGTAACCAAAACCTTCTAGGGCCAGGAGTTCTGTAAGTGACTTTTCAAGTCACAATTGGGCAAAGAAGTATCAGGAGGGGTTCCACACATTTTTTTCCTTGCCCCGTTATGTGACAGCTCCCCTATCCTTCCTGCTGACCAGGGCCAAAGGTCAATCCTACAGTGGAGACTCATCTTCTTGACTGCTGGCCACTACAGAGGGTATTCAAATTACCCAGGAGGCTGCTATGCCTTGTTGTTCAGTTGGACCCTTGCTATGTCTTCTAGTACCCTCTGGGGACTAGTACCTCTAATCTTGTGGTGCCCAGAATTCTGTGGGCAGGAAATACAAAGTCCCCCAATGGGTCATTGGTTGTCAGCTAACTTCTTTCCCCCCTAGCAAGTTCTCTCTTAAAGGGAGATCTCAGTGGCTTGCACCACAGCTGCTTTACCAGTACTTGGTCGCCAACCTGGGAGAAGATTATACATCCCCACATACTGTCATGTAACTCACAGTGCTTCTCTGCTGGAAGAAAATCTCTCCTTACTTCATTGACATCAAACTTGGCCATAAGACTGGTTTTAGCCAGTGGAATGTGAGTGTAAGATTATGTGCCACGTCTGAGCAGAAGCTTTAAGGAGCACTGTGTGGTTGAGTCCTTTTCTCTCTCTGCCTTGAGAACATATGGCAGTAGGGGCTCGATTCTAGAATGAAGACATGTGGAGCAGAGACACAGCCCCACAGCCCATCCAATTAATACAACTAAGAAGAAAACCTTTGTTGTTGCAAATCACTAAGCATTGGGGATTGTCACCACAGGATAACTTAACAAGATCTAATACATTGTATATTTTGCCTGGTCTTTGGAAAACCTCCTTTTTTCTTCTTGCTGATATTTGTGTCTCCCTGGCTGTTTCTAACTAACAGATGTCTGCTCATCAACTGGCTCTAACCTGTTCTTAAAATTTCTGTGTGTGTGTGAGGGTGAGGGGGGGTGGGGTTGGTGGAGTTTCTGGATTGACTACATCAGAAAAATCTGGATATAATTTTTATAAACACAAACTCATTGATTCTAATTCAATAGATATGATTCAGTAGTTGCCCTCAGAATGCGCCCAGGAATCCACATATTTTAAAAACTCCACATGTTCCTACAATAACTTTAAGAATTAGTTGTATTGGATAAAGAAGACACGGTACATATACACAATGGAATACCATTCAGCCATAAGAAAGAAACAAATACTACCATTTGCAACAACATGGATGGAGCTAGAGGATATTATACTCAGTGAAATAAATAAAGCAGAGAAAGACAAATACCAAATGATTTCCCTCATTTGTGGAGTATAACAATGAAGCAAAACTGAAGGAACAAAATAGCAGCAGACTCACAGACTCCAAGAAGGGACTAGTGGTTACCAAAGGGGAGGGGTGGGGGAGGGTAGATGGGGAAGGAGGGAGAAGGGGATTGTGGGGTATCATGATTGGTGCACATGGTGTGTGTGGGGTCACGGGGAAGACAGTGTAGCTCAGAGAAGACAAATAGGGACTCTGTGGCATCTTACTACCCTGATGGACAGTGACTGCAATGGGGTATGAGGGAGGACTTAATAATAAGGGTGAATGTAATAACACATTGTTTTCCTTATGAAACCTTTGTAAGAGTGTATATCAATGATACCTTAATTAAAAAAAATAGAGGGAAAACAAAAATCAGTTGTATGCTATGTTCCACTGTCTTCAATTTGCTAAAGCAAATCATCTTCAATGGTCTCTTTGAACTAGGTGTAACCCTCTACACCTCCTCCCTGCCACCCCCATCCCATAACCTTTATTGCTTACCCTTAGCCTTGCCTTAGACAATGGCCTTTATATATAAGCTTAGCCCCATTTCTTCATCCTGTATTCACTGCCTCGTCAAATGAAACTTGCACTGAGACCTGCTATTGTTTGAAGCATACACTGTCTTTCTCTTTGGATGATGTATTAGTATGTGTATATCTGTGTGTGTGTGTGTATCCATGAGTATGTACATTTATGGACATATATGAACAAAAGCATAGAGAGTTAGATGAAATTGTTTTATGCTGAAAAAAACATCATTTTGAAATGAAGCAGCCGAGCTAATTATCTGTCTGGGAAAAGGTACAAGCCCTATTTAGGTAAGAAGTAACAGAAATTGCTGATAAAATTATTCCTAGTAACTCCCTCATAAATGCCCATGTTCATTAACATATGCATAAATCCCCTCACATGGCTATGTTACTGGGAATTAGATGACTGTCTAAATAAATCCTTAAAGCACCTTTTGTTCAGTGATATGACAACAGGAATAAGGAAAAAACATGAGGATGCAAAATAACTGAAGGCAATGTTAGATGACATAAAATTTCATCTTCTATGAGAAAGATCAAGACCACAATCATTACAAATCAAAGATAAACCTTCCCATTCCACCACACCCATCCCTAACCCACCAATCCTTTCTGCCATAAATTCTTAAGGATTTTGCACAAACTTTTCATTTAAATAAGGTTTTAGCTTATTTCTTGATTGATGGTCTTGAAGAACACACAGAAAATAAAATGTGGGAATACACTGCATAGACCTAAGATGCTTACCACTGTGATGTAAAAGCCTCCACTCAGCTGTCCTTGTGACTTTGGTTCATGCTTCTGAATATCTACTGCTCTGATTACTGCACTGAGCTTCCAACCACCTTTATTTGTTTTGCCAAGATGGTGCATCTAGTGTCTGAATATCAACTCAAAAAAAAATGAAATAAATAAAAAAAATATTTTTGAGTCAGTAGCAAGTTGGCATCAGAATTAAATGCCAGAATCAGAGTTTCATGTTCTTGTTGAACACTTTCTATAAAAGAAAAAAAAAACTTTTTTATATTTGTCATAAGTCCTCAATTGAAGAGGGGGAAAAACAACTTATTTTCCATCATTGTTCCTACGAGAATGTAAAATTTATGACAAACATTATGATAAGAAAGATACAATAAAGAGAACTACAAACTGGTACCTTGAATTCCATCATGTTATAAAGGCAGCTAAACGAGTTAAAAAAGGTCTAAGCAAACTTATGTCTGGAAAGTGAGACTCAACAGGCTCCCCAAATTCATGTACTCAGATACTTCTTGACATTCACACCTAAGAAAATCAGCCAAATATTTCTAACAATATTTCTTTTGTGTTCCTCTATTGGTGAATGAGCGTAAAGAGGGAAAATTTTTTACAAATCTCTTAAAAATTCACATTGATGTTCATGTTGTCTTTGTGAAAGAGTCACCATTACTTAATAGAATAAAGACCCAACATTCATTTCCTATATAATTAGATGAGCTTCAAACCCTAGAAATTGCTTAGATTTAAAAATTTTTCATTCAGGCTTTCTTAAGTAAAATTTAAGAACCTTACATTTAGAAATTTTACATACTCTGAGTATCTGTGAGGCATTTAGAACGATCTCAGGGTCAGATGATATTTCAACTACACCTCTTTATTAGATGTTGCTATTTTATTCTGTCAGGTTAGCTTATTAGTAGAACTAAGTTTCGGGTGTAACTGAGGGATCCTGGAGAACTAGGAGAGGTTGACAACTCCTTTACTGGTTTAAGCAACTGCTTTCCCTTCCTTCTCTCCTCTGCCCTTCTCCTCCCCTCCTCCGTTCCTCTGTCTCTCTCCCCCTCGTATTTGGCAGCAGAAATCCCTGTTATTGTTATTAGGGCTGTTGTTTAGTTTTTTTCCACTCTAATAACCAGGTAACAGTAGGGATGATTTTGATGTCATGGAGAAGAAAGACGGTCAAGTGCTACCCATTTGACCTCGGTCATGGGTCAAGCTCAGTCCACAAGTCACGGTCACGGAATTTCTGTTTACTTTTTAAGCCACCAGACAAGATTTATCTCAAAGCAAAGAAAAGCAATTGGAGATGAAATGTGCTATGTGATATATGTATTTTTTTTACTTTGAAATACTATTTTGAGGGTATCTGGATACCAGGATACTAGGATATCTGAAAATAAGTGCTAGAGTTTCTGATTATAATAGGTTATATTTGCTTTGCAGCCGTATTTAATGCAAAAGTAGAGGTTGTCTCTATGCTCATGGAAATGTTTCTTCCCCAATGTGAAGTTAGCATCTGAGCTATCGCTTATTACACATACGCTTATTACGCATATGGAACCTGGCACATCCCGGCTCAATTATCCTCACGGACTTCGGTCTGCTTTCTTTTACAGCATAGGTGGAGAAGTAGGGCGAGGCCACGAGGGAAGTTACGCGGGCAAACATTTCCGCATGGGATTCATGACGATGCCTGCTCCTCAGGACAGACTTCCCCATCCTTGCTCCAGTGGCTTTTCCGTGAGGTCGCAGTCCCTGCACTCGGTCGGGGGCACAGATGATGACAGCAGCTGCGCCTCCCGGAGACAACCGCCCCCCAAGCCCAAGCGGGACCCCAGCACCAAGCTGAGCACGTCGTCGGAGACGGTCAACAGCGGTGCAGCCAGCAAGGGCGGGAAGGCGGCCGAGCGGAGCGAAGGTAAACCTCCGAGCACCCTCCGTTCCAGCAGCTTGCAGGCTGCGAGTGCGTGTCCGGGGCTGCAGGCCAGTGAGCCTCTGCCTCCTCCCTGGGGCACATGGTCCTGCCTCCATCTCCCTGAAGTCCCAGAAAGAAAGAATCTGGGGGGTGGGGAGGCTATTCATTGGACGTTTGTCAAATGACTCCCAGAAAAATATACCTAATTTTTATCATTAGAAAGAGACAGTGATATGTGAGTTTTCTTACTCCCTTAGCGCTTCAAATCATTAGGAAATTATGTTGTCTAGAAATGTCTAAAATGTATACTTTCTTGCTTTTATTAGTATTACTTTATACTTGTATTTATAAAGTATTACATATATACTTGTATAAGTATGGAAGTATTATGTGTTTATTAGGGGAACTTTATAATGCAGGAAAGTATAAAGAAGATAAATTGTAACTATATTTACAAGTACGGTGCATTAAGTACACTATGGTGTGCTTCCTTCTGGGGAATAGGAATTTTTGTATGCATGTGTGTGTGTGTAGTATATACGTACAACTTTGTATATAGTTTAGTCTCTACTTCAATCTCTATCTCCAATTTCTTCCTATACCTATCATTTTCTCAGCTATGAAAGATGTAAATATATTTCAGCCTCCTTGCTGGCCTGTGAATATAAATCAGGTTGGGTTAACCGCAGATCTGGCCAGCTCCTTCCCTTTACTTGCATTAGAAAGTTTCCAATTTCCTGAGTTATTTTCTGAGCCCTTTGGAGGGAGAGTAGTCTCAAGTGTGCTTTGATACAAGCACATGCAGATCTGTGTGTATTTCTTGTGAAAACCCCTCCAGGGTCCCTGTTGCTGCCTGTAGCCGGCTTGAGAGCACAGCTCCGCTACGTGCCTTGGGCTTCCTCCCACCGTTTGCCTCCGACATCCTCCACAGCAGGCTTCCCAGAGCACCCAGGGGACCGAGTTTCACAGTGGTTTGCACCAGAGAGTGGAAGAGGTGGCCCTCCCTCAACTGGGCAGTTCTTTGTCACCTGGGCTCCCCAGTTCCTCGTGAAAGCTTCCCTGTCTACCGGTCTGATCTTTCCAGAAACTCAAACAGTCTGTGCAATGGGGTGCCCCGTATGTCTCACCTCTCCCAATTCCTTCATCTCTCTGTTCTCCCTTATTGGTGCTCAAGTGCCTATTTAGCCAAATAAACAAAAGTTCCAGTGCATCCTGAAAAATACGAATAATGCCTGGGGATGGAGCTAGTCCATCCATTCTACAAGGGAAATCTACAGCTAGGCTCAGTTTTCCTACCACTCATTCATGCACTAATACATCAGTAGTATGTGTGTGTGTGCAGGTACACATGGTGCTATTGGCAAAGTTGAAATCATAGTGCATAAAGTTTTGTATTTTCACTTATTCTCTTGTGAATATCTTCCATGGCATTCAATTTGTTAAGAAACACCATTTTTAAGGAGATAAATGTACTTCATAGTTCTTCATTGAATCATTGTGTCCTTAATGAATAGTTAGGTTAGTTTCAGTTTGCTTTGCTATTATGAATAGCACTGCAATGAAATGTGTGTTCATTGGCATCTCTGTGTCTGTTTATTTGCATAATTCTCTTTTATTGTTCTTTTGCTGCTTCAGAGTAGATTAGAAATTTGGTCCTTTATTTCTCATGATTCAAGGTCATTATTATGTCTTCAACTTACACCACACTGATGCTTTTAGAAACAATCTAGGTGTTTCATTTACTTGTTAATACATCAAAGGGCCTTAGAGATCTGTCTTTTGTAAATTTAAATATTGTTCTTAGGTTTTCTCTGATACTGATACATGATGTCTTTCATTTCTCTATTTTCTGTGCTCTTCTTTCCTGAACTCACCCCTTTGCTACCTTTACTGCCAAAAAAGTACATAATCAATTATATTAGATTACCTTCAAAAGAAATTAGAACAGTGGTCTCTGAATGATGAGGGCTGAATGCAACCTAGAATGATTCAAAAATGAGGGGGCATGAAAGAGCCATTGGAGGGGTTGGAGAAAGATGAAAAGACAAGGCGAGCAGCCAATGAGGATTATGTTGTCAAGCAAAGTAATGCTGCTGGAACCTTTCCTGAAAGTGGTGTAAAATACAACACTCAGAATAGTTCCCTTCAGGGGAGGGGCACCTGAGATATCCATAGTGAATATGTGCAGAAAATCACAATGATTATCCCATAGAAGAAACATTTGATTGACTCAGTTGTCTTAAAAATAGAACTGATTACCATTCATTTGAGATTCTTAGGTGGCTGATTCCTGAGGTACAGAAGTTCATAATTCTTTTTGATCCCTTCAGTATTTAAAGAGCAAAGGTTCCAAATAGCTAGTTATCAAACAGAAGACAGCAGCTCTATTATCTTATTTCTTCTGAAGACAGAAGAGGAGACAGTAACTAAATTACAGCAGTAGTAAAGATTTAAGTTAGATTTGGGAAACTGTTTGGCAGTGAGGCTTATTAAATGTTAGGTTCAAGTTCAGTATCTCTCCTCAAAAGAAACTGTGCAGATGAATTGAGGAGCCATCAGCTGTAATGCATCTTTGAGGATGTACCTGGGCAAGATGGGCTATTAGGATCTGGTGCAGAAATTGTCTCGACTTCTACAGAAGAGTGATTGTCAACACAAATTTCATTGTCTCTTCAGAACACTTAATAAAAAGGCAACTGCAAAACTAGATGCATTCAACGCTCTTCTACCAAGTTATGACTTCAATAATGGGGGAACAGGGCTAGGTTCAGAGATGGAGAAAAGAATCTGTGTCCAAATGCATGCATGCATATGTTTATATACAAAGCCAAAATTATATAAATATGTAGATTGTTCTTTTGTGAATTTTCAGCTCTTCATAATCATGAGCTAACTGAAGTTCATTATAAAGCATGTTTACAATTTTTCTAGCTATCAAAATTATAACAAAGATGAAAAGTGACTTCTATAAATCTTAGTCTGTCTTTTCTTTTTACATTAAATGTCAGCAAAATCAAAATATTGATTCAGTAGCATTAGAATGATTTCCATGGTAACTGGCTTCTATTTAAGTAGGGGATTATGACTTCCCTGTGGATAAATGTTAAAAAGAACTGGACTTGTAGCAAACAGATTTTCAGAATAGAAGAAAAATAGCTTAATGATAAATACAAACAACAAGAAGAAGTCATATATCAAGAAAAGTGTAGTTTTTCAAAATTTTGGTTCTGTCACATTAAAAAGGATATTTATTACTGTATTTTAGGGTGTTCTATAATAGTAACACCTTTTAAAAATTATACAGTTGAGAAGATAAACTGGCACACTATGTGATAAATATTTTAATTAGCCTTTTTGATTGCCTCAGCATGATATCTGCTAAGTTTGAGGAAAGATTAGATGAAATATGGGGGAGTTAAGTAGAAGGGATAAGGCCTCCACGCTGTGTCTCATGTATGATCCGGAAAGAGGAGAAACTGTGCTCAGGTACACACATATCCCATTCCATGGTGGCGTCATCCTTAGAGATCCTGTGTGGTACACATGAAAGGGCAGTGCTTAGAATCAACAGGCATTGACTTGGGCAAGTGATCCCATGGGACTGTTTCTTTACCTTTAAAATGATTGTTAGAAACTGAAAATTGATTGTGCCCACCTCCCTTACAGCCTTATGAAAACCCAGTGGGATAATGCCCAAGGCAGTGTGTGGTAGAAAGAAATTGCTATAAAAATATTAGTGAATGCTATTTTCAATGTACTTGCCATCTATTAATAGGCCTGAATAATGTGAAATTTTTGTTACAGAACATGTATTAAAAAACAAATAAGAGGGGAAAAGAAAAGTGGTATGTACACATACTCTACATTGTAAGCTTAAAAATTTTACACAACCCGAATAGACAGGAAAGTATTCTCCAGGTGCAATAATCTTTTCATAATGTATGACATAAATATAATAATTAATATGAAGACAGAACCTAAAGCAAAACTAAGCATCACTCTTTTTCATTGAGATGTAATTGATATGTAATATTATATTAGTTTTGGGTGACAGCATGGTGATTTAATATTTCCATGTATTGCAAAATGATCACCACGGGAAGTCTAGTTAATATCTGTCACCATACATAAACAAACTACTTTTTTTCTTGTGAGAACTTTTGAGATCTATTCTCTTAGCAACTTCCAGATATGCAACGGGGTATTATTAACTATAGTGACATGCTTTATATTATATCTCCAGGGCTTTTTTTTTAATAGCTGATAGTTTGTGCCTTTTGACAACCTTCACCCCTTTCCCCTACCTCCCAAGTCTAAGTCCAGTTGTCTCTTGAACAATGCAGTTTGAGACACAGATTTTTTTTTCAATAAATATATTGGAAAGATTTTTTGGAGATTTGCAACAATTTGAAAAAAAAAATTTCTTTTTTCTCACTTTATTGTAAGAATAGGTATATAACACATAGAACATACAAAATATGTGTTAATCAACTGTTTATGTTATTAGTGAGGCTTTTGCTCAATCGTAGAGTATTATTAAAGTTTTATGGGAGTCAAAAGTTAACTTCTGATAGACTTTTCACTGTCTGGGGAGTCGAAGACCCTAAACCTCACAGTGTTGAAGGGGCATACTTAACTTCCATTGGTTCTGAACTCTCCTTTCAAGTCATTTCCAACCCTGAATTTATAATATTGTTTCATGACTGTCTCTACAAAACAATGAAGAAACATTTTTGCATTGTGATGGTTTCCCTGGTTTCCGATTTTCCCTTCTAGAGACCTTTTATAGAGGCATATCTGTATATCAGAAATTGGAATATCTGCAGGAATATTTGGAATCATGACTGTCTCTCAAAACTTGTAAAAAGTGGTTCAGCCAGAACCTGAGGAAGGTTAAGTTCATCATAAAGTCACTGCCATAGAACAGAAAAAAAAAACAAATCCCTTTCTAAAGGTTACCAAAGAAACTAAGTTACTTCAGCCTTTAGCAGTGTTGTCTGGTT